GGGGGTGAGGTTACGAGAAAAAACTTCCGTGCTTGGGGGAGAGGGTCCAACAGGGAGGGGATAGGGGGCTAGCAGAGGTCACCGAGATCATTACCGAAGTGCGGAAGATGCGGCCTGATTGCTGTTTGCAGAGTATGCCGACAAGGTTGGAAAAAAATGAAATATCCGCCCAGATCGTGGACCGTCCGCTGTGGGTCGATCCAATAGAGAACGTGTAGGCCTCGTGTGAAATATGGCCACCAGGTTCGGATGATGCGATCGCTGATGGGTCATTGCGGTTTGCAGACAGTGAAGTAGGGAAGACCACAGTGACCCTGGCATGGGAGATTACGGTGGGAGAGCGTAAATCAGAGGTTTTCACAAATAAATAGTATATATAAATGTTACTGATATGTAGCTGCGAGTATTAAAGTTTTGACTTTTTCACCGGCTTGTCGGCCTCGATTTGATTGAAGTGGATCCTCCCCACTGGAAAACGTTATTATATAACACAGATTCTACTATAATATAGAAAGTAGCATCCTAATTGTAACTTGTCGGCAGCGATCCGTTTGTATTGTAGCGCGCACTGATATATCGATCCAACTTGCGCTTAAAACCTCTGGGGACCGACATGACGACATCGAAAGCTTTGACCACTCTTTTAGAGGAACATTACTTCCGAGCGTCCAGAGATGATGACCTCTCACGTTCGTTGTTGTTGCTCACTCGAATAAATCTCCTGATACAATACAGCATTCTTGGACGGTAATATGCGGAATTTTATCATCAGGTCCCCCAAAGCTGTCCGTAGCGCAAACGAAAGAAATTGAGATCTGGCAGCCGTGTTTCACAAGACTGTGAGCCCTGTCCAATGACAAGTTTAGATGCACGCCTTTGAACCTTTTCGATGGTATCAATATCAGTATAATGAGGGAAACGTAAGTAAATTTCCTTTGAGTTCCCCATTTGTACATATGTGTAGTGGTAGCAGAAAAATTGTATCTCAGACTGTTGGCGAGGCCAGTTATGCTGAGTCATGGGATGGAAAAATAGGAGCAGAT